ATGGTCTGTGCAGAACCACTTTCCTTCTGAGAATCTGAAAGCATGGTACCTGCTAGACAGCAGTTGCCCACAGAGCCTACTCCCAGGAAAAATTCTGTGGATGGGGTCTTTAATAAGCTTCGCTGGTAGACAGCAGGTACACTGCACCAATCCCACACTGGCAAAGCTAAGATCATGCTCAGTGACTCTTTGGGGAGATTCTTGGAAATTGTACATACTGTTCATGATCACAACTATATGCTGAGTCCTTACAGCAAATCATTGAATCGGGGTGGTCACAGGGACTCTGACCCGGTCCAGTGTAAGGGCCATGAGCATCACAGGACTCTACCTGTAACTCTTAAACACCACGTACACAGAAGCTCTTCATTGTACTGGTGACTTGGCATGTGGCGCTCCCTGGACATCTGGACCAGTCTGAAGGTATGTTACACCCACTCAGTCAGGTAAGATGGACAAGCTGGCGGAAACGGCAAAAGCACGGTGGCATACAGTGTAGTCAACCACCAATGAAAGCGCAAGTGTGGGCAGCTCAAGCAGTGCAGTCGGGCAGAGACGGTTAATCCCATGCAGCCTTGTCTCAGTGCTCTTCTGATTGTTCTTTCCCTGCAAACGTCCTAAAGAGCATCTTACACGTTCCTAGTGGTGCTGTCTTTTCTTTTGTCTGCCCACACAGCACCAGAGTTTGGCATAAGTGATGTTTCAGCTGCACGCGGGTGACAGAAGAAGGCAGTTGCTTCATCAGCCTTCTCTACGCAGCGCGGCAATGCAATGCTCCAAGCACACAAACAAGTCATACTTCCTGGCGCATAATGTTTAGTCCTTTAGACTGCACATCCACTTTCTGGCCGCAAGATCAAGAAGACGACCACACACACACACTAGAACAAGGTAAAAGAAGACCCAAGGCTCAGCTAAAGAGTATTCTAAGCCACTCCTGATAAAAAATAATTTTTATTTTGATAGTAAAAAAGAAAGTCATATTATTTTTAAAACAAACATCATGATGCAACATAGCAAATTTGTACCAAATGTCAACTATACAGTGGAAAGGCCAAGAAACATAAGAATTTAACTACCTCCTTACAACAAAGTTAGCAATTCCGAGAAGCACGCCTGAAAGAATGATGAGGACTTCATCACAGATGTCAGGAAGGAACTTCTGTTTGGGCTTGAGGTGGGGGGGGTGTCTAGAAACTCAGGCAGAGGTTTTTCATCAATCCCATCCTGTGTGCTCAGTGAGCTGAGTTCAGCTTGCACACTTCAGTCATTTGTTCTAATGCCTTTTTACAACGACATGAAGAAAAGGACTTCTATAGAGTTGGGGGGGGTTGATATAAATGTTTACAAACTTGTCAAAGCTTATACAAGTAAGACCAGAGTTCTCTGTGTATCTAACCTGTGTATCAACTCCCCATAAGCAAATCAAAGTTTCAAGGACGGTAAGTAGTGCGTTTCTACTCAAGAAAGAAACGCATGCTTTTGTGTTTGCTATGTTAAATCTTTATAAAGTGCACAGGCATGTGCACACGCACTCTCACACACGGATATTTTACAGGGTTTCACTCTACAGCATAAGTTAGCATCAGACTCTGGATACTCCGGCTTCCACTTCCCAAGCGCTGGGATTACAGGCATGCGCCATCATGTCTACCTTACAAACATAGTTTACAGACAGGCATGGTGACCCACACCTGTAATCCCAGCATTTGGGCGGTGTACAGAATCAGAATCACATAATTGTACATTAAAGTTAAATTTTATTACTTGGAAATGCAATAGTGAAACATTTTAAATGGTACCTATTGCTTAAAAGCACCTTTATTGCTCTAAACCTCAGATGAAATGTGTAGCTTCCATCAGGGTACAGTAAAACCCATTAGTGCATAGCTAACAAAGGTACCATAGAAGCTGGTTTAAAGTCATAATGAAGAGAGCGCTAGTAAGAACGCAGCAACCTGGCTGAAATTGATATTCATTAGGGTACTCTTCACCTCAATAGGGCCATTTGGACTCTGTGGTCTTCATCAGTGTCCCAGCTGGTAATGGTTGAAGGTTAATGCCTTACCCCATTCTGTTCAATTTTCTACCCTAATTAGCCCTCCAAATCTATAGCTGTGAGTACCAAGTGTCTGTGCTCAAAAGAAACTAATTAATGCTAGCAAATTAGATCAAGTCCGAAGACTCAACAGCCAAACTCTTAGTTAAATGCGCCCTGTTAACAGGAAGTGTGGCTGTCAATAACTGCGGGTGACTATGACAAGGCACCCGTCTTTCACAGGGAGCGATTTCAGCTCTCTCTGTCTCTAGAAAAGCTTCTCTCTCCTTCAAACCTAAACTGCTGGTGTGTGACCTGGTTCTTACAATCAGCTGGGTTGAAAGGATGTGAAAAAAAAATTAAACAGAACAGCTTCCTTACATAGCAATTTTTCTGGCATTTAGCAGAAAGTCTGATTGCTTCTTAAAATCCCTATCTTTATCCAGGAACCATACAATTAGCATACCTAATACTAAGTGAACTCCTATGATCATTTTTAAAGCAGACTGTAAACAGTACTTAATGGACAATGTCCTGCCTCTAAACTGTGACTTCCTGCTCTGCCTCAGCACAGCCCCAGAGGTGGGACTACTGTGCACGCTCCCTTGTCACAGGGGAAAATGGAGACTAAAGAGTATTATGTGTCTATATAATAATGTTACATTCTAAACACTATTTGGAAACAGTCTTTTAAAAAAAGTCAATACTCAAATATTCAGACATCAATTATAGCATACTTTCTAGTAACGGAAAATCATTAAAATAATCTAAATGAATCTCAAATTCTAAGATGCTTTTAAAAGTGTTTTATATTTATTTACTTATTTATTGTGCACGTGAATGCTGTGTGTGTGCAGGTGTACGTGTCAAGGTGGATCTTGAGGGAGTCAGAGGACAAGTTACAGGACCTGGAGATGAAATCTGTGTCCTTAGACTAGGTGGCAAACGCCTTTACCACCGAGCCACCTCGCTAGCCACCAACTGAGATGCTTTTACTAGTCAAAATATTGTAACTTTTAAAAACCAAAATCTTAACATGCTATAAATAACTCAATTTTTGACAAAACTTGAAACTGCATTATTTTCTGCCATTATAATGTAGTCGTAAAGCGTAGATATTTTAGAGTCTGCTCCTTCATCTCAGAAATCAAAACAGTTTCACTTTCTAAAAGCAAGTTCAGTTCTGAAACCTAAAGTCATGTGGCTCTTCCGCGTTTTCATCGGAATCTTGTTAACAAAGGGCAGCTAGCTTTTCTGCTCTAGGTATCACACAAACGCCTTTGTGTTTGCCACTCCACACTGGGAATTCTAGTTAACAAAGTTCCTAGTGGTGGCAAGTTTTACTCCAATAACTTTATTCCACTCTCAAGATTCCCCTGCCCTGCCTGAATGAGGATGTGTTTCGAAAAGTCCCATGAGGCAAGTGGAGAACTGCCTCTTGAGATTATTAGTGTGACACCTGCCAATGCCAGATGTGCCCTGAACCCTGCAGGTGCCAATGGGCTAATTTCTCCTGACACCTGGGGTGGGAGAGCTGAAGGAAGGTGCCCTGATTAAACAACTAATTTCCAGTAAAAGCAGAAGCAGTATCACAGAATGGCTTTTCAATTACTAATTGATAGAGGATTTCAAATATAATAGTCATACTATAGAAGTACTCATTGTAAGCAGTACAGTGCTTACCACAGGGACCATCCCTGTCTGCCTGCCTCCACTGTAGTACAGAAGTCAACTCACAGACTGAAGGAGGAGGAGGAGAAGGTCCCTAGCATGTTAACTTTATTGACAGTAATAAAACTAGAGTTAACACAGCCTGATTCCCCAGAAAGAAACTTGCAGAGCTTGGGTGCAATCCTCTAAAATGACTGTTATGCTTGGACAAAAGTGACTATGGGTAAAAGCAGTGGGGGGGAGGGGAGTAGAAAAAAGCCCATCCCAGCACAAAATAATGAAGAAATAAGACTTTGTTTATCTTTATTTTATATGAGTGTTTTGCCTATATGTACATCTGTGCACAGCATGCACTTCTGGTGCCCAACGAGACAAAAAGAGGGTATCGGATCCCCTGGAACTGGAGTTACAATGATTGTGAGCAGCCATGTGAGTGCTGGGATATCCTGGGTCTTCTGTAAGAGCAGCCAGTGCTCTTCACCACTGAGCTATCTCCCGAGCTTCATCAGCAAAATTTTACTGTTGGCTTTTTTTTTTTTTTTTTTTTTTTTTTTGATGGCCATTCCAAGAGGTAGATTTTATGTGTAAAGATGTTTCTACAATAAAGTTCCCACCTACTTCTCTGACAGTCCATCAATTACAGACCTATGATGGCCTGCCCCATTTTTTAGTTATCACTATCACTCTGTTTGCATTTTTACCAGATGTTTACATATCAATCAACAAGGTTTCCAAAAGTACCATACACAGAAACAGTACTATGAAAAACATTTTCAAGGACATGTACGCATGGGGGCACGTATTTACATAAGTAACTTCTCCCTCAGAGCACAGGACAAAGCAAGGAACACACTAAACAAGCCTTGACCTCTGCCAAGTTCAAGCAAGACTCCTCAGAATTCAGTGAGGGCAACACTAAGAAAAACCATCATGCCTGTAAGTCTGTGTGTGCACACATTACAACCCGCTGTATTTTGATGTTTCTTCTTAGAAACACATCAGATTTAATGTTTATTCTTTCCCTATCAAAATGACCAGAGTAACTACTTCCTCCAGATCACTCACATCAAGTTTCCTCTATAAAACTACACTTGCTCCTCATTGGAAGATGCTTTTAAATTGTAAATGAGCTGACTGGAAGCCTGGAAGCGGGAATGCTAGTACCTCAGTGCAAGTGTGAGGAGCAACTCATACACGTTAATTCACTCGACTTGACTTTGAGGCCAAGGATTAAATTCACATCGTATTACTATAAATGAGTTTGATCTTTATATGAATACAGGAATCTTACCTTCAACTTGTTCAGAACACCTTTCTCTGGCCTTTTCTCTCATTATCTTTGGGATCAGAACATCTTTTTCAACATGTCTGAGATGTTGGTCTGGAAAAAAAAAAAAAAGATTTCTGGTAGTCTCAAGTCAATAACCAGACAGGAAAAATGATATTAGCATTCTAGTTTATTTAAAATGAAAACCTAAGCAAATTTGTTTTAAGTGGCTCTTTTACCACTAACGTAAATTACTTTAATTTACTTTTTTAATTAAATTAATTTAATTTACTTTGATTACTTTAATTACTATATATCAGTCTAAATTTTTTATATAAGAGAAAAAGAGAGGGTCATAAGCAACACCTTTCTAAAAAATCTCTGCAAATTTTACTGCAACGCTTCCCCAACAATGTATTCTACCAGACTGGCACAAATTTAAAGTCTGAATCTCATTTTCTTATTAATGTAATTTGCAAATGTTTTGATCTTTACAGATACTGAGGTGCTGGAATAGATGAAAAGATACAAAATTAAAAGATACATGAGAAGCATGCCCTGTTGGTGTTCTTCTGAAATGTATACAATTTATCCTTGTTCATTCAAATACTGATTTCTCTACCCCACTATCTGGTTTCAGTCAGGACATTGCATTGTGATGCTTATTCTAAGTTTGTGTAAACATGCCATCATTTGTTCTCTATATTTAAACAACCAGCCCCAATGCTGTGCAATGGAGAAGGAAGCAAGTAGGAAAGGAGAGTATCCACAGGAGAGGTCTTGGAACCACGTGGAGAGATGAACTGGACCTAAGATATGACTAAAAGCAAGTATAATGGGTGAAATCTGAATGGTAGGAAACTATGTGGGCTTGGAGATTTAGGATGGAATAACTATTGCCCAGCACTGTGCTCTAGATTAATTAAATAAATTCCTAGTCTCTGTGTGGTGATTTGGGTATACAGCTGGTTTAGGACTAACCGCTGCTTAACTAAAAAATATATCAATGTAAATACTAATATACCACAACAATGCCCCACCTTGAGTACAAGTAGTCTAAGAAATAAATTACTAGCACAGAAAAAACAAAACGCCAGGGGCCTATGAAATTATGCGTACCCTTTAAACACACCAGCCACCAGGGGCTAAAACCACAAATTGAGCAACTCCAACCACAACTTACATGCTTCCTAAATACTCAGAGCCCTGGAAAGCAAAGGAGTGGTTTCCTTTAAAAACCACACGGAATCCAAAAGACAAAAGGCAGATGAGGTCTGATTAAAGGAGACGACCACATTTCCATGAGTACCTCAGGAAAACTGATGCCAATGTGGATGCTACTCCATGCAGCAGCTACCTGAGGCCTGAGCAGAAACCAGCTACTAAACTCTGCTCTCTGACCACAGAGTGAAAGAAAGGCATTTAACCCCCAAAGCCCAGGAAGTTCTCAGGAATTCTCTAACAAGATTTGGAGCCCCTGAACTCTTTTTGGTTTCATGTCAATAGCTTTTGGGTGCAGGCAGGTATAAACTAATACATATTTATAAAGAACAAACACACACACACACCAGGCAACAAACATCAAAGAAGAAAATGACACAGCATAACCAACCACAATTTATAAAACAAGTAATCGACTTCAAAGAAAATTAAAAGCATGAGAGGATTTTGAAAAGATGCAATAAAAATAAAGAAACAGATGTGAGTTCTGAGAAGAAGTGGGCTGGACTACACATATCTAAATACTCTTGAAACGCCTACCCTGTAAAATAAGGGAAATGGCATGAACATCATGTCTACAAGAATGTGAAGCAACAAGATGGCAGAGAAATTACTTGAGTCTCTATGATGACTACCTCACACCTAGGACCACAAGAGTCAAACCACCAATAATGAGTAAGGCTATCAACTTTCAGAGATGCAGAAACTAAAATGATGACTGCCTCCAAGGGCAACAGGAGGAGGAGTGGTCTTAAGACTATTGGTCTGAAACACTGCTCAACCAGTGATGCACGTTTGTACAGCACCTGTGGGTCGGAGGAGCTTCTTGGCTAGGACCCAATGACTGGTGTTAATTCCAAGAGCTGCAAGCAGAGGACTTGTCTACAAATCAGTTCTTCCTCTCCTCATCTGATATCTACACTGCAATGGCCACAGGCAGGGCTTACTTAAATAAGCGGGTGACCCACACTCCTCTCTATTTGTGAGTTCTCAAAGTCCAGCAGCTGGGTTAGGAACAGCAATCTGAGAAGGCATGTCTATAAGTAAAACAATTCAAGACAGCCAGGTGAGCCCCCGCAGCCTTCTGTGACCATGTCCCCAATTATATGATTCCAAGTTATTAGGGATACCCTGAATTCCATGGTCTGCATAAAGACCCCATTACAAATGAGCATGATGAATGGTAGATAATATAACCTTTATAGAATATAATCACAAAAGAAACAGAATATATACTGGTTAAAAACACCAAAGCAAGTATCAGAAAAACACACATACATTTTTATTTTATGTGTAAGTTTACCTGGGTGTGTGAGTGTGTGTGTGTGTGTGTGTGTGTGTGTGTGTGTGTGTGTGTGTGTAACACATGCAAGCCCAGTGCCTTAGAGGCCAGAGAGGGTGTCAGAATGCCTAGACCTGGAATTACAGGTGGTTGTGAGCTCCCTTGTAGATAACAGGAGGCAAACCTGGGTCCTTTTGGAAGAGCAGTAAATGCTCTCAACCACTGGCATGATCTCTAGCCCCAAATAAGCATACCTTTAATTTTACATTTTAAAACTGTAAAACAGTTAAACATTATCAAGTAATCTGACATAACATTTATAGAATATTCCACTATTAACAGGACATTTACTAAATAAATTGTAATCGGATTATGAGGCCAATCTCTGACTATCTGAAAGATTCACAGCACATGAAGCTTGTCTCCTGAACAACAATGTAATTAAGTAAAATTCAGTGGCAGAAAGATCTTGAGATGTCTCTAAATATGCTTAAAAACAGCAACACATTTTTTTAAGGTAACCCACTGGATCTAAAGAGAAATGAAATGAAAATTATAAAATATTTCAAAATTAATAAAAATGAAAATATACCAAAAGTTCAATATTACAGCTAAAACAATACTTGTAAGGAAATGTGTGGTACTAAGAACCTACGTAGAAAGAGATTTTAAATTAACGTAAGCATCTACCTTTAAAAAACAGAGAACCAGCAAATAAAACACAAAGCAAGCAAAGGGAATGAAATAATATAAAAAGCAAAACAGGAGCCGTGAATTCACAAGAGGACACTGGATTCCCTAGATCTAGTTGTGGATGGTTGTGTGGATGGTCCTCTGCAAAAGAAGTCAACGCTCTTAACCATTTGAGCCATTTCTCATATGGAAAACCAAAAACCCCAGGATAGCTAAAACAATCCTGTACAATAAAAGAACTTCTGAAGGTACCACTGTCCCTGATCTCAAGCTGTACTACAGAGCAACAGAAATAAAAAATGCATGGTACTGACATAAAAACAGACAGGTTGGTCAATGGAATAAAGTTGAAGAGCCAGAAATAAACCCACACACCTACGGACACTTGATTTTTGACAAAGAAGCCAAAACCATACAATTGAAAAAAATGTCTTTAGCAAATCGTGCTGGTCTAACTGGATGTCTGGATGTAAAGGAATGCAAAAAAGTCCATATTTATCACCCTGTACAAAACTCAACTCCACGTGGATCAAAGACCTCAATGTAAAACTGGATACACTAAATCTAATAAAAAAGAAAGTGGAGAACAGCCTTTAAGGAGTTGGTACAACAGACAACTTCCTGAAGAGAACACCCACAGCTCAGGCAGTAAGATAAACAATGTAAAAATGGGACCTCATGAAACTGGAAAGGAAAAGGATACCGTCAACAGAACAGAACGACAGCTTACAGGACGGGAAAAGATCTTCAACTCTACATCTGACAGAGGACTCATTTCCAAAAACACATAAAGAACTGAAGAAATCAGACACCGACAAACCAAATAACCCAAATAAAAGTGAGGTAAAAAGCTAAACAGAATTCTTAACAGAGAAATCTCTAATGGCTGAGAAGCACTGAAAGAGATGTTCAATATTCTTAGTCATCAGGGAAATGAAAACCAAAATGACTGAGATCACATCTTATACCTGTCAGATCAAAATTAAGATCAAAAACTCAAATGACAGCACATGCTGGTAAAGATGTGGAGGAAGGGGAACACTTTTCCATTGCTGGTGGGAGTGCAAATTTGTACAAAAACTTTGGAAATCAATTTGGTGTTTTTTTAGAAATTGTGAATAATTCTACCTCAAAACCCAGCTATTCCATTTGTGGGCATATACTCAGAAGATACTCCACCATACAATAAGGACACTTCCTCAACTATGTTCACAGCAGCTTTATTCATAATAGTCAGAAACTGGAAACAACCTAGATGTCCCTCAACCAAAGAATGAATAAAGAAAATGTGGTGCATTTACACAATGTAATACTAGTCAGCAAATCATGAAACTTGCAGGCAAATGGATGGAACTAGAAAATATACTGAGTGAGGTAACCCAGACCCAGAAAGAAACACCTGGTCTGCACTCACCTAAAGTGGATTTTAGCCATAGAGTACAGGATAACCACGCTACAATCCATAGACCCAAAGAAAAAGCTAAATAACAAGGAGGGCTCAAAGAAGGATGCTTGACTCTCACTCAGAAGAGGAAATAAAATAAACACTGGGGGTAGATGGAGGGAGGAAACTGGGTGAGAGGAGCAAACAGGAAGAATCAAGTGAGGGGAGGACACAGAGAAAAAGAACTGGGAAAGAGAAAGGAAATCGGGGGTGGGGGGACCTGGCATCTCTGGGATGAGCCAGAAATCTAGGACAACAGAAACTAACACACACCTGAAATGGCCACCTCCTGTGTGTAACCAGGCAAGACTTCCAACAGAGGGATGGTAACACCAACCCATCCACAAAGCCTTTGACCCAAAACTTGTCCTTCCTACAAGATGTGCAGAGATAAAGATGGGGCAGAGATTGATGGGATGGCCAACCAAAGAGTGGCCAAACTTGAGACCCATGCCATGAGAGCAAGCCAACCCC